GGCCAATGAACTGGAATTCTTGAATTATTCTTTGACCAGCCATTGATGGAAATTATTGCCAGGGAAAGTAATAAGTATTTTCAGTACACCATGGCAAATACGATCTTATCACCACAGTCAAGACTACACAGGTGGAAAGAGATGACTGTTGCAGAAATGTATTTGCTTTTTGCAACAATAATGCTTATGCCTCACGTCTATAAGCATAATATAAAAGCATACTGGTCCACAGATCGGCAAAATTTCCTACCCCGGTCTTCAGTGAAATAATACCAGTGAACAGGTTTATTCTTACTGTTACGTATGTTGCACTTCTCTGACAAAACCAGGCCTGACAGAAGTGACAGGTTTATACAAGATTAAAAATGTTTTCATGTATCTCAAACAAAAGTTCAGGATATACTTTATCCATTCAAGAATCTTGTAATTGACAAGTTTTTTTGATTTTGTTCAAAGGTAGACTGTCATTCAAGCAGTATATCCCCGAGCAAGAGGAACCGCTTTGGTATAAAACTGTTTGTACCTGTGATTGTGACAGTGGCCTGGTGTTGGATATTGTTGAATACACGGGTAGTAAAACATTGAAAGATACCAAGATGTTATTGGGTATCCAGGTGACGTAGTGAAAAACATAAATGGCACCTTATCTTGGTAAGGGGCATACATTATATACCGATAACTGGTAAAACAAGCCCATTACTCAGTGATTTCATGCGAGTGAACAAGACAGATGTGTGTGGCACAGTGCGTTCTAATGGGTAAACATATGCCCAGGCTCAACGCAGGTGTTCGTGGTGATGACGTGCAGGTGTTTATTTGCCAATGACATCATGGCATTACGGTGGCATGACAAACGAGATGTCACATTGTTGACAACCATTCACCGAAATAAAATGCAAGACAGTGGCAAAGTTGATCGAGTGACAATGAACTATTCGAAAACCATGTCAGTGATTGATTATACACAAAACATGCGCTTGGTTGACAAGTGTGACATGCAGATTGGTTTTGTTGACTGTTTCGTAAATTTTACAAGTGGTACATGAAACTTTTCTTCCATCTCATGGACATTTCAATGCTCAATGCATAAATATGTACCAAATAAAGACGGGTAACAGACCACCGTATGGTGATTTTGTTTGTCTTTTGTCAGACAAAAATCATAATGAAGTAAACCCGGTAACAACACCTGCAATACAACATGGTCCTCGAATTCCTCAGGATATACCCAACGTTTGAGGAGAGAAGGTGATCATTTTATAATACAGCTTCCTTCAACTCAAAAGAAATTTGCTCAGAAGAGATGCATTGCTGTGCACAAACAAAACGAAAGGCAACAAAGACGCAAAGGGCACTCGTTAGTGTGAGGAATGTAAGGTGCCTCTGTGCATGGTGCCTTGTTTCAAGGAGTTCCACAAGCTCCAGCATTCTAAAACCATGTCCAGTGATTGTAAATATGTAAATATATGATAGAACATTAGTATTATACAATATTTGTGCATGTTTATTGTAATAAAAAAACAGTGGTAAACAATAATATGATAATAACTTTAGTGCGGTTTTGTGTTCAATACAGTGAGTTTTTTATATATCAATTATATACAGTATTGGTCCTCTCAGGCCCCAAATGTTAGTAGGAATAGAAAAAAATTGGAAAAGAAAAGAAAAAACAACTAAAACAACAAAATAATATAATACGCGTATGTGGAATTCATCGATGTTGCCACCACCACATCATTTTCTATAAACTTCTTGGCACTGTATCTTGGTAAGTACTGATCAGATTTTTATTTTTTTTTGTTTTATTTCCTTCACAAAAATATGCTCTTTTAATTCCCGTAAGAAAAATAATTTTTTTTTTTTTCAAAATTTCTTGGACACTGGTGCGTGACTTCAGATTTTGGCCTTGGACCCTGAAAGGGTTAAACAAAAATACCAACCACTCCAACACTATATCCCCCCCTGCTTTTAACATTTCTGTCATGATCCCATCAGTTCCAGCTGCTTTACCCCCTTTCATTCTATGTAATGCCTCATGCACCTCCCCCGCACTCACATCCTGTTCTTCTTCACTCCTAAAAGATGGTACACCTTCCAAGCCAGTGCATGAAATTACCGATTCCCTATCTTCGTCGACATTTAAAAGTTCCTCAAAATATTCTCGCCATCTACCCAAAACCTCCATCTCCCCATCTACTAACTCCCCTACTCTGTTTTTAACTGACAAATCCATTCGTTCTCTAAGTTTTCTTAACTTGTTTAACTCACTCCAAATTTTTTTCTTATTTTCATTAAAATTTCTTGACAGTGCCTCTCCCACTTGTCATCTGCTCCCGCTTTGCACTCTCTCACCACTCTTTCACCTTTCTTTTACTCTCCATATACTCTACTCTTCTTTAACACTTCTGCTTTTAAAAACCCTCTAAGCTAACTTTTTCTCTTTTATCACACCCTTACTTCTTCCCTCCCCCCAATTACTCCTCTTCCTCCCGCCCCCCACCCTCTATACACACAAAAAATTGCCCCACATCTAATACCTGCTTTTTAAACTATTCCAACCCTCTTAAAAACCCCCCCCCACTAAAACATACTTGCAACCAAAGCCCACCTTTCTGCCAATGTTGCTTATATCCCCGAACTTCCTCCTCCCTTAGTTTATACACTTCACTTCCCTCTTGTTTGTTGTTGCCATTATCTTTTCCCATCTACTCTTACCTAACTGTAACTACAAACTAAATAATGTCCGACATATCAGGCCCCTCTATAAACATGTACTCTGGAGCCTACCATCAACCTTTTTTATTCATCAAATACATAATCTAAAAACTACTTTCATTACGTGTTATAAAAATATCTTGCATATTTATTTATCCTCTTTTTTCATAAAAAATGTATTACTTGCTACCAAACCTCTTTCTATAAATAGCTCAATTAAAGGTTCCCCATTTTCATTTACCCCTGGCACCTCAAATTTACCTACTACTCCCTCCACAACATTTTTGCCTACTTTAGCATTGAAATCCCCAACCACCATTACTCTCACACTTGGTTCAAAACTCCCCACGCATTCACTCAACATTTCCCAAAATCTCTCTCTCTCCTCTACACTTCTCCCTTCTCCAGGTGCATATATGCTTACTATAACCCACTTTTCACATCCAACCTTTATTTTACTCCATATAATCCTTGAATTAATACATTTATAGTCTCTCTTTTCCTGCCATAACTTATCCTTCAACATTATTGCTACTCCTTCTTTAGCTCTAACTCTATTTGAAACCCCTGACCTAATCCCATTTATTCCTCTCCACTGAAACTCTCCCACCCCCTTCAGCTTTGTTTCACTGAAAGCCAGGACATCCAGCTTCTTCTCATTCATAACATCCACAATCATCTCTTTCTTATCATTTGCACAACATCCACGCACATTCAGACTTCCTACTTTGACAATTTTCTTCTTCTTATTCTTTTTAGTAATTATTACAGGAAAAGGGGTTACTAGCCCATTGTTCCCGGCATTTTAGTTGACTTTTACAACACGCATGGCTCACGGAGGAAAGATTCTTATTCCACTTCCCCATGGATATAAAAGGAAAAGTAATAAGACCAAGAACTATTAAGATAAAATCAAAGAAAACTCAGATGAGTGTGTAAGAAAAAATAATTTTTTCTTTTTTTCAAAATTTCTTGGACACTGGGGAACCCCTTTCGATTTTGGCCTTGGACCCTGAAAGGGTTAAGACCTGTCTTCTCAATGCTTGACATGTCCCCCAACTTACTTGCAGAGAGTGAGGTGCAACCTTCCCTATACAGCCTCTCCTCATTTAACAACCGAGTTCCATTCCTAAGAGTAGGTCAGTAAGTGAACTGGTGGTTAAGTGAGAAGCATACTGTACTGGTAGTGGGTTTGTGTCAACCATCTTTAGATATTTTTTTAATGTCACCTTTGCATCATTTTTAAATGTTTATATGTAAAGTAAAAGGACACAAGTGCAACTAATGTGACATTTATTGTGGCAACGTTTCGCTCTCCAGGAGCTTTATCAAGCCATTACAAACAATACATGGACACAGAGGGTATATAAAGGCTCAGAGTGAGGTGAATACTAGTGAGGTACCATTTCGATGTTCACTAGTAGTAGTAGTAGTAGTAGTAGTAGTGGTAGTGACAAAAGTAATACAATATGGTAGAGCAATTAATTCGTACATGTTACCCAAGTAATAGCTTTTATATCCTTTTACTCATGTACGAATTAATTGCTCTACCATATTGTATTACTTTTGTCACTACCACTACTACTACTACTACTACTACTACTAGTGAACATCGAAATGGTACCTCACTAGTATTCACCTCACTCTGAGCCTTTATATACCCTCTGTGTCCATGTATTGTTTGTAATGGCTTGATAAAGCTCCTGGAGAGCGAAACGTTGCCACAATAAATGTCACATTAGTTGCACTTGTGTCCTTTTACTTTACATATTGTCGGTAATTCTACCAACTTTATTACTAAATGTTTATAGTGGACTGTACACTGTAATAAACAGAATAGAGGAAATTAGCTCTAATATACACTACTTAGGCTTGCATATTGGTCGGAGAGCTGGTCATAACTCTGAGTAGTCAGCAAACAAGTATGTTACTAAGTGAGGTGAGGCTATATATTCTTATTCTTATTTCACTTATGTATCTGCTGAAGAGGATCCCAGAAGGGGATCAAAATATATAGTTTCTGCCTCCATGTGGGTTATTATTGAGCACTCAGTATTATAAGTATGTTTACTGTACCTTCTTACAATATTCATGAACAACATTCAGTATTATAAGCATTTTTACTGTACCTTCTTGCAATATTTATGAACATTCAGTATTATAAGTATGTTTACTGTAAATTCTTGCAATATTCATGAACAACTGTCAGTATTACAAATATATTTACTGTACCTTCTTGCAATTTTCATGAACAACAGTCATTATCATATGCAAGTTTACTATACCTTCTTGCGATATTCGTGAACAACAGCCAAGTTGGGTTTTGACTGTGCCAGCTTTTCTTCCAGGATAGTAAGCTGGTATTGAAGCTTCTTGGGGTCAAGCTGATCAAGAGCTTCAGCTTCCAGGACAACTAACTCAGCATCGTCACCTTCCTCCTTGTCAATTGGAATCTCCGTCAGCTCGAGTCGACTCAGCTGCAGCAACACAGGCAATGTTTATGTACTAACATCTTCAATATTTACAGCAATGTTTTGCAAGACATTATGGGATAAAAAAATATTAATTATATACACACATGTATGTCATACACATGTTTGTCATACACACACGTCATACACACACGTCATTCACACATGCATATCACACACACACATATGTATGTTATGTATGTATGGAATGGTTGGTATTTTTGTTCAATAAATGTATGAAAGAGTGAAAGGTACGTAGGGATTGGCAGAGAGCGTGTATAGTTCTTTTATAAAAGGGAACGGAGGACAAGAGAGATTGTAAAAATTATAGAGGAATAAATGCACTGAGTCCTAAGTAATAGGTTGGTAGACAGCAACCACCCAGGGAGGTACTACCATCCTGTCAAGTGAGTGTAAAACGGAAGTCTGTAATTGTTTTACATGATAGTAGGATTGCTGGTGCTTTTTTCCGTTTCATAAACATGCAAGATTTCATGTACATCTTGCCACTTCTACTTACACTTAGATCACACTACACATGCATGTTATAGCATATAAATACACACCCCTCTGGGTTTTCTTATATTTTCTTACTAGTTCTTGTTCTTGTTTCTTTCCTCTTATCTCCATGGGAAAGTGGAACAGAATTCTTCCTCTGTAAGCCATGCGTGTCACAAGAGACAACTAACATGCCAGGAGCAAGGGGCTAGTAACCCCTTCTCCTGTACACATTAGTGAAGTTAAAAAGAGAAACTTTCGTTTTTCTTTTTGGGCCACCCTGCCTCAGTGGAATATGGCTGGTTTGTTGAAATAAGACAGAAGAAATTTACTGAGTATACCAGGTAAAGTACAGTGGAACCTCCACTTGCAAGCGCATCCACATGCGAGTTTCTCCAAATACGAGCAGTCGCTAAATCGATTTTTTGCTTCCAAACGCGAGCGAAATTTCCATAAGCGAGCAAGCCTCAAGGGAGGTTCCTTGACGCTGGTGAGGGGTTCTTGCTCTTGATCTAGGGAATTGCATCTCATTTGTTTGTTTTATTTATTTTTTATTATTATTATTATTATTAACACACTGGCCGATTCCCACCAAGGCAGGGTGGCCCGAAAAAGAAAAACTTTCACCATCATTCACTCCATCACTGTCTTGCCAGAAGAGTACTTTTACTACAGTTTTTAAACTGCAACATTAACACCCCTCCTTCAGAGTGCAGGCACTGTACTTCCCATCTCCAGGACTCAAGTCCGGCCTGCCGGTTTCCCTGAATCCCTTCATAAATGTTACTTTGCTCACACTCCAACAGCACATCAAGTATTGATTTTTATTTATTTTTATTTATTTTATTTATTAATTTGAACATGATACACTGAAGTACAAAAAAATACAGTGGCTAAGTATAATATGCCAAAGCCCCTTGTATGCAGAGCATTATGGGCAGGCTTAAAATTAACTTAAGATTAACTAAGCAATGATATATTCAGTGGTAAACATTATTGTAAATAGATAACAATTAAGCAAAAGTGAGTATTTCAAAGACAGGTCATATAGTCATTTACTGTGTTGCTGTGCATTCAGTAGAATGGAGTACAGTGGACCCCCGCATAACGATCACCTCCGAATGCGACCAATTATGTAAGTGTATTTATGTAAGTGCGTTTGTACGTGTATGTTTGGGGGAATGGAATGGACTAATCTACTTCACAATATTCCTTATGGGAAGAAATTCGGTCAGTACTGGCACCTGAACATACTTCTGGAGTGAAAAAATATCGTTAACCGGGGGTCCACTGTATTCTGTTAGGTAATGTAATTAAAAATAACAAAGTTTAATTGGGTCACAGGTTACACATTTTTGAGATACATATTCAGTATTTATTTAGTTGTGGGTGAGTAAGTGCTTTTAAGAAGAGACTTGAATTTGTAAACCGACAGTGTTTCTTTTATATTCCCAGGTAATGAATTCCAGATTTTTGGGCCTTTTATGTGAACGGTTTTTTGATAGGGGGGAGGGGGCCGGGCCCTGGTTTTGGCTTGGAGGGCGGCTTTTTGGGGGTAAAATTTGGGGGGATTTTGGTTTAAATTTTTTGTTTAGAGAAAAAATGGGGATTTTTATGGTGAATTTAGAGGGGGGGAATTTTTTTGGGGGATTTGGTTTAGGGCCTCCCCTTTTTTGGGTAATTAACTAAAACCCCCAACAACCAAAGGAGTGGGGTTTAATGGTGGCCGGGGGCTGACTTGGAACATAGTACCGATCTTCGATAGAACCCTACGGTTTTGGAAATTTTCTTGGAAATTTGTTGTACAGTGTTTAAAATTTTGAGTCTTTTCCCAAAGGTGGATTTTAAAATTTTTCCCTCTGTGAGCTTTGTGATAGGTGACCCGTTTATCATTTTTTTAAGAGGGACATTGTAGCCTGTTACCAAACTGAATGAAGTAGGTTTTTGTAAATGTTGGAGTAGTTTTTTTAGTCCTCACCCGGGGTAGATATTTTCTGTAATTCGGTATTCACAGTAGGGTAGCAGACTGGGCTCGGGTGAAGAAGACGTATGTAGTGTCATCTGCAAATGTTGGGTTTGAGTATTTGCAAATGAAAACTTGGAGGTCTTTTAAAGTAAACGAGAAAGAGAAGAGGGCCAAGGGCCTTCCTTGGGGACACCAACGAAATTTGGTTTGTGGAAGATTTTTGCTCCATTTGTGTACACATATTGGCTTCGTTGCTGGGTAGACTTTGGGTAGTTGAGGGAGTCCCCTCTTTTCCATAGTGCGAAAATTTTGTGGGAAAAGTCATGGTCAACTGTTATTTTTTTTTTATTATCACCCGGGCCCGTTTCCCCCACCAAGGCAGGGGGGCCCGAAAAAGAAAAACTTCCCCATCTTTCACTCCTCACTGTCTTCCCAAAAAAAGGGTGTTTTTACACTCTTTTTTAAACTGCAACAAACCCCCCCTCCTTCGAGTGCGGCATGTATTTTCCCATCCCCAGGATCAAGTCCGGCTCCCGGTTTCCCTGAACCCCTTTCAAAAGTTACTTTGCCCACTCAACAGCAGTCAATTAAAAAAAAACCTTTTTTGTCCCCTTTCATCCTTAAAACGCTCACGCATGCCTGCTGGAAGCCCAACCCCCTCGCACACAAAACCCCCTTTACCCCCTCCCTCCAACCTTCCTGGCCGCCCCCTCCCCGCCTTCCTTCCACTACAACTGTACACTCTTGAAGTCTTTCTGTTTCGCCCATTCTCTCTACATGCCCGAACACCTCAAAAACCCTTTTCCCTCAGCCCCTGGACAAAGTTTTGGTAACCCCGCACCCCCCTCCTAACTTCCAAAACTAAAAATTTCTCTTATATTCCCCCAAAATTTGCCTCAGCATGAATCCCCACTGCCTCCACCCTTTCTCCTCGCTGCAACTTCATCCCCCCACGCTTCACACCCATATAAGAGCGTTGGTAAAACTATACTCCATCATTCCCCTCTTTTCCCTCCAGGACAAATTTTTCTTTGTTCCACGACTCCTAAGTGCACCACTCATTTTTTTTCCCTCATCAATTCTATGTTCCCCTCATTTTTCTCCCCCACCCTGACACGTCCACCCAAAATATCTGTTTGTTCACCTCCTCCATACTCTCTCCCTCCAATTGATATTCAATTTTTTCATCACCTAATCTTTTTGTTACCCTCATAACCTTATCTTTCCTGTATTCCCCTTTAATTTTCTTTTTTTGCACACCCTCCCAAAATTTCATCCACCAATCTCGCAACTTCTCTTCAGAATCCCCCAAGAGCCAGTGTCTCAGCAAGAGCAGCTGTGACAACCCCCCTTTTGTGTGTGATTTTTTATTTTTAACTCCACCCTCTTGCCAAGACCCTCGATTTACTTCTTTCAACCCCATCTAAAAATAAAATAAAAAAACCCGTGACACCCACACATCCTTGTCAAAGGGCCTACTTTTAGGGAAAAAAATTTTTTTCTTTCCTAATACTCAACTTGAGCCTCACTATCCCCTTTTTAAAAAACTCTTCACTGCTTTCAAAACCCTCCCTCCTACCCATACATTGCAAATCTCCACATGCCCCCCTACCACCCTGTAACCCCTTTTCCAAATCCATAAATCCAAAAAGACCTCTTTAGCCTTATCTAAATACTGTTCACTTATATTTTTTCACTGTAAACACCTGGCCCACACCCCCCCCTCCCTTTTCCTAAACCTCCTTGTTCATCTGCTATCCATTTTCCGTCTTCTTTAATTCTTTCAATTAAAAACTCTACCATACACTTTACCGGGTACACTCAAAAACTTACCCCCTATATTTTTTGCACTCTCTTTTATCCCTTTGCCTTTTAAAAAGGAACTATGCAGCTCCTGCCAATCCCTGGGGGCCCTTACCCTCTTCCATACATTTATTAAATAATTGCCCCAACCCACCCCAAAAAACTATACCCCCCCGTTTTTTAACTTTATCTTTTCCCTCATCCCGGCTCCCTTCCCCCCTTTCTTTTTCCCAAATGCCTCAGAACTTCCCCCAACTCACAATGGCTCTTCCTCACTCCTACAAGATGTTATTCCCCCTTCCCCTATACACGAAATCACAGTTCCCCCCATCTTCACAACTTTTTAACAATTCCCAAATATTCCTTCCATTTTCCCCAATACCTCTAACTCTCCTTTTAATAACTTCCTCCCCTATTTTTAACGAAAAATCCATTTTTTCCCTTAGGTTTTCTTAATTGTTAATCTCACCCCCAAAACTTTTCTTATTTTCAAAAAATTTTGTTGATAACTCTCACCCCCCTTTTCCCATTTGCTCTCTTTTTACATTGCTTCACCCTCCTTAATTCTTCTTTTTCTCCATTACTCTTCCCCCCTTGCATCACTTTATTTGTAAAAACTTTCTATGCTAATTTTTCCCCCTTACTATCTCTTTTACATCACATTCCACCAATGCTCTTTTCCCCTCCTGACCCATTTTCCCCTGAAACCACAAACTTTGCTGAACACTCTAACATTTCA